GAAAAAGGAAGAGGCAAAGTCTAGCAGAATTACACTGATCTGAAATTGTGATGCAAAGCATATATTACTTAAGTAATAACAATGCAGCCAAACATAATGAATGAGAATAGTGTAGAGATGTTCATAATCTGTAATCGACTAGTATCTCTTAGAATCAACCAGAATGTCACAAAACAAAGTTTTTGGTGATAATTTGTTTGGTTGTAATAATTAGGAAAACACAGGCAGTGGTGAATTTTAATCATTTTTTCCTAATAAACACAGCTTTGTCTTTTTATTAGCATATCCTGGTATTTAACATTGTGGTGTTCACTGCTATTTGTTTAGAACCAAAGTTGTTTATTTGGTAGTATGATGATAATTAGTTTGTCATTATAAGAATTAAAATAAAGGAAAAAGGAATTCTGTTGCAGAGCTGTAGATAGTTTAAGTTCTAGAATTTACAGTTTTAGAGTTCCCATCCAGTCTGGGGTTCCCAGATAAGAAAATGATGCAATACTGAAAAGTTGGTTTTTAAAATATTTTATTACCCCACCTCATAAAATAAAATTTCCAGGAACCAGATATAAAATCAAATTGAAACCTAATACAGTCATTTTCAAACCATCACAAAAGAAAAACAGATGTGAAATACATCCAAATGACTTTAGTCACAGCAAGAGTAGAATTACCTCAAACTATAAAATCTAGCTGAAACTGTGGTTTAAATCTATCTTTTAATATGTGAAGCTGTTTACATTTTCATCATATCATGTTGTATATAATAACTTCCCTGACTCCTGTTTTAGAAGGAAGATGGGATATAATTCCAGTAAAGCTAATGAACTACTACCATTGAAATACCATCGAATCCCAGAGACTCCTAGAAGTAAAGTTCTTAGAAGTACTAAAAATCTGCAAGTGAATTTGATTTTCAATTAACGTTAAGAGTGATTAAAATTATCTTTAAAAGTCCGGGAGAAGACATAAAGCCATCTGTAGAGGTGCCTCCAGTGACCAAATGTCACAATCGGGAAGTCTAATTAATTTATTTGCAGAAACACTGTGGCATATAAATTATGCTGCTAATGATTTTTTTAAAAATTTTAAAAAAATCCAGTTCCTCCTCCAGAAATCTTGAGGCTTTCATGGGATTTCATTTCATTGTGGGGAAACCTTTGGGAACTGTCGGATGGGAGGAAGTCTTTAATTTTCAAAAAATGCCACTGTATTGTGTTTTTCAGAAATTAGAGACTTTCCTCTATCACCCAAGAATTTCTTATGATGAAAGGGGTCCCCATGGGAGCCTTCAGACCTTTGAGTGGGGGAATCGGAAATTCACTGCATCTGATGCAATCATTAATCTTAAACAGTATAGCTTTACAGCGCCAGGATTTCAGCCATAGTTACCTTTCTAATTCAGTTTGAGGAGGCACTTGGAGAAGTCCCTTCCCACATAGGCATTATTAGGGCACAAGAGATAAATGTTGAAAGAAGCATTCCTTCAGGTCCCAAGCCATATATAATTTTTCTAGTATGCTGTGCATTCATACTGTTTTAGCTATCTTACTAACATATTTTGCACCAGGTTAGGTTTCTAGTTTGTTTTCAAAGAGCATCCTTCTGTTTGGCAGGTTACAGCAGATTTCTGCCAGTGTGCAAAGCTCACTTTTTTCTTCACCATCAGAAAGGAAGATGTTTTTGAAATTCACACGTTGTCCGCCTGTACATTACTGTAATCCACAGCTGGGAGGCCATCAAGGAATTCATCAGGAATTGTCAGCTTTCAAATTGATACAGAAGCAAGCAATGAGTCTGGGAAATGCTCAGTTTGGAGCAAGATAAAAACCTTCAGATGCTTAGTAGCGTATATATAAACAGTCTGTGGCACAGGAATTCAAGATAAGAACCCTTCTAGCTGAACTTCTGAGCAGCATGTATGTTATATGCATGATCAATATAGTTGTGAACACATGAAGACTATTGGATTTATTTCAGTGTAATATTTTCTGGATTACAATCCACTTCATCATTAAACAATAAAATCTTGAATTTTTTTCAGTTTTGAAAAAAAAATTCTATAGCTTGTCTTATGTCTCTACATTTTTGTACAGAAAAAAACATAGGAGTCTGCTGTCTTTTGCAGTGTTGAAGTGCTGTTTTACCTAGATTAGTATTGCTAAACAAATTGAGGTGCTAGGCCTGTATCTCTCCACCGCTGGGTTCCAATCCAGCCATCCAAGGTTTCCCAGAAAGCCACTCTCTTTTCTTTGTGCCCCCTCTTTTTGGCAGTTTTCCAGTTTGAATTTGATGGATTTTTTTCTCATTCTAAAAGGCTAAAATGCTTCGGCTAAAGCGCAGTTACTGGCAGTAAGAACTGTAAAGTAACATTGCTATTTTTGGCCCATCCCCACTGGAATGTACCCTCCCTCCTCCCAATTTTATCAGAAATTAAATTTGGCCCTTGAGCTGAAACAGGTTTTTCACCCTTGAGAATCTCTCTTCATGTTGCAGACGGAGGTCTCCTGGGGGTGGCGTGGGGGGCTGAGCCAAGAATATTTTTTAACCAACACCAAATTAAATGGAAAAAAGGGGACAAGGCCATATGGTCTTCAAAACAATATAAATGCAGTAATAGGCAATACCTTTATTGGACCATTAAGAAAATAAAATAAAAATAGCGTGAGCTTTTCAATGATCATTCATTGTCCTCAGGCTCTGCACCAAGTTCTTGTGGGTAGCTCCAAAATAATACGTTTACATTAAAACCCCAAAAGTTTCATGGCTGCTGTTGGGGGTCAGATACAGCTTTTTAGATGGAGAGAGCTGAATTTAGTGGGCAAGGTTCCTGCATGATCCCTGTGAACAGAGGAATTATACATAACTAGCATGGGTATCATGAAATATTAATGTATTGTATTTATATTCTTTCAGGTCAAGGACCTACAGCCTACAATTTATGGCAAGACACACTTGTTTACTCACAAGTGGATCTTGCGGGTTTAGGACTACATACAGCTGAATCCAGATTTCTTCTAAGTTCCTGGAGTGCTTTCACTTGTGGTTTCTGTTATCTTAAGCATTTTAAGAAAATCAATTAATTTTTGTTAAAGCCAATAAATAGTTTCCTTTCTAAAAAGGTAACTAGCTATATGTCTTTTCTGATATTTTTGATCACTAATCCCCAAACATGTTTTTAAAAATCAGTAAGGCTGTAAAGGTTAATGTTACCGAAACGAAAATCCGTATGTTGTGATCCCACACATTATTAATTGGGAGCAACTTTGCTTTTGAAAGTCAACAGGCTTTCCTATGGAATAGACCTGATCAGCATCATTTCACGGGCTCTTAAAATAAGTACATTTGGTGGGAAAGGCAAACCAAAGCGGAAATTTGAAGTCGTTACGGAAAAGCTAAACTAGTCCTAGTTCTCCCCGTCAATGGCTCCCCACTTTTAAAAAGATGTGAAAGGAAAACATCTAATTGAAACAAGACTCCTTTTCTTCGCCTTCCACCGGGTAGCCTCCCGGTGGAAAGAGCCAGCCACGCACAAAAGGAAGCAGTAGTAAGAGGGTTAATGTTTCCTGTTTGGTTTTCGATTCGCCCTCCCCCCCGGCCGCCCCCCCCCCGCCAAGCGCTCAGGCGGAAGTGAGTTCGCTCCTTGGGAGACTAAAAGGGTTCCGAACTCGAGATCAGTTTCAATAATAGGCATTCTGGAAGAGGGTTTATGAGCAACGTGATCGTATCGGCGCCGTGCAAACATCAGGCTCACCTAAACCGACGGGAAGGGAAGAGGAGGGGGGAAGCATCCGCGGCGGAAATTTAAAAACGCCAAACGCCGAGCGCCGCGGAAGAAGGGAAGCCACCCTTTTCTCCCCACCCGGCTGGACTCCAAGGCGGCGTTAATTCAAGCCCTACCGCTCACCTTTTCTTAAGGTTGGGATTTTGATGAAAAGTAAAGCCGGGATTGTCTCTCTCACCTCCCCCCCCCTTTTTTTGTTTCGTCTCAAACGAGAATCGAGACTCTTCTTTTCCTCCGAACCCCTGCACGAAGGGTGGACATGACAAAGGAAACGTGACACACACACCCTCCGGTCATTGCGAAGGCTTGGGCGGCTGAAAGAACCGAAGAGAGAGGAAGCCAAAGGACTTGTGTCTGTGGGGGGGGGGGTGGCGGACTGTGGGCTGCTCGAATAGCATCGCCCCGCGATTCCTATTTGTGTAAGTGAATATAATAGGCCCTCTATGAATAATTCAGGGCGGGCGTCCGAGACCTGCCGTCGCCGCCGCTGCTCTTTTCCCAGGCGGCTACTTTCGCCGGTCTAACGCAAACTCCGCGTGCGCTCGAGCGAAAGGACGGATCTAAACCGCGTGCGCGGCGCCGCCGATCCTGCTCTGCTGGTAGCGACTGCGAAGCGGGAGCACCGTCGGCGGAGGGGGGGGGAGGAAAGAGGAGGGAATCTCGGGAATAGAGGAAGGGACGTGATCAATGCGATCATCCGATCTCCCTGGAGGATCTTTGCGGAGACCAGGGAAAGGCGCGGAGCAGCAAAGGCGACCACCCCCTTAGCGTAAGATCGCTCTTTCATTCATTCATTCATGCGCACATCCCACCCACCCCTTTCTCTTTTAGTAGCCCGCCTGCCTATAACCTCCTGCGCCGGCCGAATCGCCATCTCTACTTCCCGCGTCTCCGACATGCCGTGGTGGAGCCGGCGTGGGCAGATCGGTTCCGAAGGCGTCTGCCTGGAAATCTCGGGCGGCTGGAGCCTCACGGAGTCCTCAAGAAAGAGCTGAACCAAAAAAGCTCTCTTTTCTCTGCCCCTCCCCCCCTTTCTCTACTGGGCGGAAGAAAGTCCTTCTCTCGCCGTCAACCCACTTACTTTCCAACGATCTAAAAATATAAAGCGCTGGATTTAAGGACTTTACCCCCTCCTGCTCCCCGAGTGTATCCCGCCGAAGGAATCGCGAAGGAACCACCCAGCCGATCCACTTCACGCTGGATCTCCAAGGAGGGGCCGATGTACTTTTCTGCTCAGGAGACCTCCGCTCGCCTCCCACGCCATCGCGAAGAGGTGCTGAGTTGGGAAGCGGAGGGGTGGAAGGCAAAAGGGAAAGAAGGACGCGGCTGCCGAGGCTAGGCAGCGCCTTGCAGCCGGGAAGAGCGTGCGCGGCTCGGGTGGGAAGACCCAAGAGACCTCGTGCCTGACGCGGCTTAAGCAGGGCGGCGGACGGGAAAGCTGAGGAGGAAGGAAAGGCCCGGGGAAAAGGCAGAGGACGAGCGGCCTAAAGAACACTCCCCCCCCGGGCTCGCGAAGCCCACCAAAAGGAGGCTCCCGTGGGCGGCCGGGGCCGTCGCACAGCGCTGCTCTCCCCCCCCCCGCAGCGCCTAATTGATGCCACCCACCA